CTCCTGCCTTTTTGATTAATCGGGGGAATTGATGCCGTTAACCGAACAAAGTTTCCTTCACGACGGAACAAGCAAGGCATCCTGGAAAACTTTGAGAAAGTAAAAGAGAAATTGAGAAAGAATGATTTCAACCCTTGAACCGTGAGAGAAACGGGTTGAAAGTAAGAAGAAAGAAAAAGGAGTGATGTGACGAATTATGATACTCGTGCGAGAAAAGGAGGGCGATGAATATAGGAAGAAAGGCAGGTGCAACGTGGGGCATTCTTCTCGAACGGAAAAACAAGCTCGAGTGTCAACCACGATAGCTAAACCTCGTGCATTTTAATTTCTCCGACTTCCTTGGCTCGTTGTACACGTTGCACAACGCGAGACACGCGAATAAGTGGATGTTCGAGTTTCTCCCGATCTAGATAACCGCTCTATCTTTTTACTTTCATGCCTGACCAACGTAGAATAATTTCAACGCATTAAAGGAGGCCGGCGCCAGCAGTTTCGAGGCTCGCACCGGTGAATGGACCCACTGTGAATCACTCGAACGCTTTCATTGCCGGATAAAATGTCATTCACTTGGAGAGAAGAGAAAAAGAAAGTTGAGAGGACGGGGAATTACATCGCGAGATATGAGTCAATTTCTCTCTGTATCTTCTTGGGAACCATTTCAACGCCGTTTAGAATTACTTAGAAATAGAGGCACTAGTGCGCGTGTGTGTCCAACTTTTAATTAGGCGTGAATGAAAATGGAAAATGAAATAAAAACAACAAAGTGAATAGCAAATGTACACGTATCAATTTATGCGTTTCTCTGTGATTCCTGCAATCTTCTGGATCAGGTGGCGTGAAAGGTGCGCGTAACCTCGGCCAATTACCGCCACGATAACCCTGACTAATTAATCCGCGCACAATTTGAGAGGAAGTGCGTTCGTTCGGGTTTATCGTGCGTTTAGAAATAATGCGTTCCAATTAGAAGTATCGTTCCTCGCGCGAACCGTAAGTTAATACTATAACGGGCGAGATTAACAGCTTGAGTACGTCAACGAGGAGAGATGAGAGAGCTCTTAACGCACTTCTTCACCTGTTTTCAATTAAAATTTTCTTTTTCTCAACAAAATTTCTCGAGGAAAGAACAATTTGTAGGAGAAAAGACAGACTAGATTTTTGGACGGAGGTATCGGCTTTAAGTCCATCGACTAGGAACCGACATCCATGGAGGGAGGGACGGAGGCGGCGGGCAGGCAGGCAGGCAGGCAGGCAGGCAGGCAGGCCAGGGTATCGTGGCACGAAACGAAACACCGTCGAGCTGTATTGTTGCGTACCGTGGAGTGCATAATTAATGACCTTCGTGCCGGTCGAGTTTTGCATTGCAAATGCCACTTGGAAACGCTCGCGCACACGCGGCCTCTCTCGTCACATAAATAAACAGGCACCGCGTGCATGTGCATCGGACCCGTTGCTCGCTAGTACAATAAACACCGTGAAAGTTTCTGAATCGAGGAATGCGTTGCACCGCTCTTATACGCTGCTCGAGATAATTGCCTGTGCTCATCTAGAAATGCTCATTCACTTCGGGATAGGAATAAAATTAGGCAACGGAAAAAACTCCCTTTTAAACAAAACCGTTTCGTAACACATTCTCCGATGTATGTCGTCCAGCAAACAGTGCCATCGTCGCCATCGTGTAATCTTCGAAAAGTGAGAGAAACAAACCTAGACATCTATCGAGCCGAAAATAAAAAAACGCTACATCTACAGAGAGGGAGAGAGAGAGAGGCTTTCTGAAGCTTCCACGAATCGGGGGCAGGCAGCAAGCATAAAAGGCAGCCGGCGCGCATAAATCAGGCCAAGTTTTCCATCGCGCAGCCTTCAAAGCGCTCGAGAAACGTATATTTCTTTCCACGCTCGCGCCCGTCCTTGCGGAACGGAATAGTGTGCGCTTCGGTAAAAACTACCGAGCGATTTCAACGTGGCCGAGGAAAGCATTTATATCGTTGCCTGCTATGTACACACACCGCTGACTCCGCCATTGTTATCAGTCACACGCCAGATAGAGGTTATCGCGTTGCAAACATAACGCCATCAGCCGTTCTCTCTGGCTCTCGCAAATTTTTCCAATGTCACAGACCTTATTCATACTCGTTCCACTTCATTTTTACCCGATCAAGCGACCAATACTGACCTTTTCCTCTGGTTCTTTAAATCCAAACTCCAAGGTCCAGATAGTCTTCGTAAAAGGTTGAAATTGCACACTAATTATTCGTTAATATCACCACAAATATGTAAGATACGAAGAAATAGGCGAGAATGATGGTATCGAGAAAAAGAGATAAACTTTTCTCGAAGTTTCGAAGAAATCGTCGTCGACGAGACACTTGGTTACAGCTTTATCGAAGCGGCGAAATGGAAAATACTTGGGCAACAAGCGGTTATCAGGATTTATCTGAACGCGATGACGGGCAGAAGAGGCGATCCATGGGGGGAAATTGAACGAGCCGAGTCACGCGCGGTTGTTCAGCAATAACGAAGGATCGTCCGCGCAGGACGAAAGCTGGCAAACGACTGGCAGGACATTTTTCGTAGGGTAGGAAGGGCAGGTAGGCCCACGGGCTTGCCTCTGCGTGAAACGATCCTCCTCTCTCTGGTTTATGCACCCATACGTGTCCACAATGTGCCCGCAGCGGTGCTCAACCTCTTCGAACACTTTTCTCTTAACAGCAGATCCAGTTTAACGACCGTCATTTTGTATTTTCGACATCCTTTCTCTTCTATCTATGTGAATCATTTGTGAAAACATACGAATACAATTTCTACATTTTTAAAAAACTCTCACATAGAATTCTTACCAACGATAATATAAACCACACATTGATAATAAATGGGTAGCACGAAAGAATCACACGAGGAGCGTTCGATGAAGAGATAAGGTTTCCACAAGTTTTACACCCGCGATTATCTCAGTTGCGTAAGGTTTCCCGAAAGCCAGCGACGACGATCCAGCTATTTAGCTCGTTCAACAGCTGTTATAGAAAAGTTCCACGTTATCGAACAAGCCACGTCCCACGAATCGCATGCTTTCTAGTAAAATAGGTATCGAAGGTTTCATCGAGCAACACTTACGAACCTTATAAAATGCAAGATTTGATCAAACAGAAATCGTTGATTATCCCCTGAACTGATAGAGATCGATCGTTGGTACGATGCGATGTTCCAGGTCGAAGAATGAAGGAAAAATGAGAAACGCTGAAGGGCAGTAAGCAGCCAGCAAAATACACAGAGAGCGCGGGGCAGGTTTTGGGTGACTGTCAGGGCTGTAACACGCACAAAAGGCAGGTGCTGGAATGCATTGATTGCTGCTCTGCCCCCTCTCAGCATCCCGTGGTCCCTACCCGTATCTGCTCTGGGAACCCACCCTTCTCTCCCAGGGAGTCGCAAGAGAGGCTGAAACCCAGAGGGAGAACGCGATCTCCTTCCTGCTTTAGGATTATCCCTCTCTTGTCTCGGTACGAGGGTGCCCCCCTCTCTCTCTTCTCGCCTATCGACCACGTCAGAAAACCCGGCTTTCCGTTCAACTCCATTATATCGCCCCGAATATCTCTGCTATCTATCTATCAAGTGTTTCACGTGCGACCAAAATTGCTACATTTTTTCCCTTCTACAGTAAGATTTTCGTGGCTTTGGAATTCGCGAAGCTTGGAATTTCATTCGATTTTATGAGACAATAACGGGGCGGCTTTGGATAATTTCCCGTAACCACACGGTATATATCGAGTACAAAGTTCGCCGGAAATTCTGCAAAGAGAATGTCTAACAGTTACCGAACTGGGGCGGGTCTGCGGTTCGCGAGAGAAATACTCGCTTTCGACGGAAACGCTGGTTTGGTCGATTCACCGTGGCGGTAAATGCACTAAATTGTTTGCAGGAACTGTTGCAGTTTGGGAATGAATTTCCGTAGGTATTTATATTTAATTCGAACCGAATACGTCTGTATCTCTAGCTCTGTTTGCGAAAATCAATAATGGAACACTTGATTTGAATTTTTCAATCGAATTACATAATAAAGCCAAGGGGAGTAAGAAATCGCCCCTGAAGGGCGTTTCGCTTTCCCCAAGTGCGGAGAGACCTTAATCGAAACGCCCACGCTAGGCGACCCTGAGAGACAATTTTCCGGAAAACTTGGCCAGCAGATAAGGATTGAAAAATAACGATAGGCAGGGTGGAAAACGCAACGGTGAGTTTTTCCTCTAAGGGGCTTAAATTCCCAGCTTCCGCGTTATTAGCTCCCTTTTGCCCATACCGCTCTTTTATTAACTGAAACCTTGTACATTTAGGGAAGAAAGTAAAGAAAGAAAAACAATTTTTCTAGCTTTAGCGAAAAATTTCCTTCTCAGAAAATCTACGAACGAATCTACCTCGATTTCCAGCAAACAAGTAGCAACTAGTTCTTGGAATCACCGAGACGTCGCCCTTGGACGTTGCTTGCATAATCGAGCTCCACCACGTTAAATATTTAACGTGTCGGTTCTTTAGCTGAGAGAACGCGCGATAAAAATATTCTCTTCTGCCTCTTTCCGGCTGTCAATCGACCGCTGACGCATCGTGATGTCCTCGTCGACACCATCACCGAGATTGTTTGACTTTCGGGGACGCGAGAGAACCCAAGTCAAACTTCCGGGATTCTGACAGAGGATATCTCTGTTACTTCAACACACACACATATACTTGCGTATTTCTCATTTACGCTATTTTCTTGGAATTTAGAGGAAAATTTGCAGACCCCTATCATCTGCATTCAGAAAAGTAAAAATAAAAGACCGAGTATTAGGCCGGTTTTCGTCGAGAAGATCGGTCTAGAGGTTAAAGACGCGCATAATGTCGAGGATTTTTTGTCGAGCATCTGTTAGACACGCTGTTCGGACGCTGAGGAGCCCGTAGGTCATTAAAAACACGCACACCGGAGAAAACCAGGCAGTAAAGGCTGACTAACCTTTTGATGTGCCAGCCTGAAGGACTCCTCGAAGTGCTTGTGAACTGCCTGCTCGGCGGCCCTTTGCTTCTCGAGCCTCTCCCTCTCCATCTTGGCCTCCTTCTCGCGTTCACGTTTCTCCAGCCGGGCTGCTGCTTCCGCTTCTCGCCGCTCCCTGGAACACACAGAAAAGTCTTAAGGTTACACCATAGCCTCGATCTAATTCGCTCTTCGTACTTTCTGAGACATTCGCAGGAAAGAGGATTCCTTGAAACGATTATTTATTCGATCAGAGCAATTTTTTTCTCTCTCGAATTCTCAGCGATCGCGAAGAGAACGCTTCGCAGAACTTAAGATTCAGATCGCACGCAAAGGAGAATAATAAACACACGTTGGATTGGTTCGAGTCCCTCTTTCTGCCGCGCAGGAGCAAGCTTCGAAATGGGAAACGCTAACGATGCTTCTCTTTTAATCGCGATTTACGACGAAATGGAGATTCGAAAAACACGAGTAATTTATGCCGTTGCGATTCAACGTTTTCATATTCATGCCCCTTATCGATTTATCGTGGCCACTCCTCTTCGTAATTCCCCACCATTCTTCCTTCATGAATCCAAATAAAAGTGTAGGCAAGGAAGAGTGCCCCTCCTCGTATCACGATATTCTTTTTTTATTTGTTAATTTACCAAAAAGATGAAAAATGAAAAAATGGTTAATTTCCCTAAGCGTTTCTTCGTCTCTCTAAAGTCTGAAAAAACATGTGTAAGTGATTCGTAGGATAGAAAACGGTAGGAAGAAAGGGCCCACGTGTTTAGCATGGCCAACAGGAAAAGCAGTTGAAATACATCTGTATAAAAGAAAAGCCTATGAATCACACGGGCTGTCCAGCAGTCCCCAAAGGTCAGGCCCGAGTTGAAGAAACCGGGACTTCCTTTTACCAAGCCAGACGACATACGCATACACACACGCACACAATCACTGAGAAAACTAGAGGCACCACCACCATTCTGTGTACTGGCTGGTTTCCCGTGGCGTTTGTGCGTGCGTATGTTGCTCGTGCATATGTATTTCTTCCCGAGCTGGAGAGTTTTAAGAGAGCCGCGATAATAACGCCGACGGTGGCTGGCGTATATCGTGACTTTTTTAACGGGCTCAGCCAGATAAGCATTCATTAATGCTTGCGCAAGTTATTTATACTGTTACGTGCGCAACGCGCGTGTTTATCTCAGCTCTCGGTCGGCGGACCTTACTTGCAATGCACGCGTTGGATTCGCGCGCGATAAATACGTGTTCGCTTGTATTTCGTGCGCGTCTGCCTATGGCCGTCCCTCCTCGTCGCGCCAAGAACAGTTTAAACAGAGAATATCAATTTTTCACAGGCATGAACACTCAAGTGGAAAACGCATAACCGTCCTAATTCTTCGGAACAGAGTCACTTTCCTCTTTCGCACTTTGCGAGATCTGTTATTGTTATTTCAAGTACGGAGGTTATCTTTTATCGAGCTTCTGTTTGCTTTTAGTCTCTCGACCAATGAAATATAATCTTTCATACTAAGAGCCGCACACGCAATTTGCTCTCCCGTCGCAACCCTATTCTTCTTGGAAATCGGTACACGCGTTAACAGGACCCATTTTTTTTCTTTTCTATAGTGAAATCCGGTTGAAACTCCAACGATTCATACCGTTGAATTGTAGAAAGCCCAGGCAGCGTGTGTTCGTGGAAAAATCCAGCTCGGCAGGAAAATGCGCAAAAGTGGTCGAGCAGCGGTGTACGATGGAGGATACAGGCAGAACGCAGCCCGATATTATTAATGCATGCCGTAGTAAAAAAATACATCAGAAGGCTGTGTCGGTGGTGAAAACAGAAATGGGCCGATCTGTTTTCCATGAGATCCGGCGGCCAGAACGGCCGGGAAGACTCGATCGGTTCCCATTCCGAGAACGAGCACCAGCTTATTATTACGCCAAGACGTATACACCGGAACCAGTTTCTGCATCTGACTGATTTGCATTTCAGTTGCGGCTGACTTATTCAGCTGCCGTATAAATCGACCAGCGCCGCTTTAACTCGTTACACTTAACCCTCAATTTACAGGAAAATTTTGTATCTTACGTCCTTTTGCTGCCTTTGTTTTACTACAGTGTCAATATTCTCCGAATTTTTATTCGAGAATTAATTCACTACCTGTCCGTTTCACAGCTCTTCCGGGCAGTTTGAAGAAATTGATGGTTAACCCTTCGACAGTTTATCCCGTGCGAAACTTGGATAAAGGAAGCAAGTTAACAAGGGACGAGATATTATTGTCAGAACTATGACGTAGGGTTATGTCTCTTGTTTTAAAAATGATCATACCCGACGTAATTATTTAAAAAAAACGTGTAAAATATAAATTGTTTTTATCATAATTCATAAATTTAATAGACTGTCAAATGGTTAATAGGTACAGTAAGGTCCAATACACACTAGCAGTCTGCTACCGGTCCGGTCAAATATTCTTCAATGCTTTAAAACGTACCCACCATTCACACTAGCGAGCCCGGTCTCGTCCCAGAAACTATCTTTGGAAAGGATATTTTACCACCGGTTATACCATTCTAATTCTAATTCTGATGAAACTGTAATATCTTGTAGTTTATTTTCTTTTTTCATTCGCATTTTTAACCAAACATAAATTAAACTAATTTACATTTCGAGAGCAAAGCGGGATTGAACCGTGACCGGACCGGAAGCGGACCGCTAGTGTGAATGCTCAGAGATTTGACCGGCCAGGAGCGGATCCGCGGATACGGCAGTCTAGGCAACCAGCGTTTTTATTTTAAACTTTTTCTATATGACAATGTTGTCAACATATTTATGCGATTGTTCTGATCAACATTTACTTATTAACTTTTGCGATGTGAATAGTCCAGTTAGTTTGCACTCATTTGACTACTGTCGGGCAGTACCGTATAGTTTGTCAATATTTCAGCGTAATATTAGTTACAATATATTAAGTTTCAGTATAATATTAATGTACAAAAAAATAGTTTATTATTGCTTATAATTTAAAATTTATCATTGCATCCGCAAAGGATTACAGTAAATTCTCTACAAGTGTCAGTCAGTTTGGATTCTACAAATGTCAGTATGGATGGTCCTACGCCTATGTTATTCTCGTTCGCTGTCAGTCAAACCGTGTAACGCTACACCACTCGGTTTCTTTCACGAGATTTCACGGCTCGACAAATCATAATAGAAAAATATAATTTCTTTAATTTTACTTTTTTTCATCTGAAATTTTTTTTAACATGTTGGTGAGAGTTTTCTGATGAAAATGATATCAAACACGACATAATTGGAACAACATTTACTTATTCACTGTCTGGCGTGACAGTGAACGTGTTAATAAGTAAATGTTGTTCAAATAATGTCGTGTTTGATGTCATTTTCATCAGAAAAATCTCATCAATATGTTAAGAAAAATTTCGCTTGGTTGCCTCGACTCACGTTTCATGCTTATCTTTTATTCGCTTTCCTTGCCTACGTTCGGCAAACTACAAAGGCGGGCGCGAGGCTCGAGAACGTAGTCCCTGACTCTACAAGTGTCCGGTTTAGATTCCTTGCGGACTGACACTTGTGGAGAATTTACTGCAATACTTATTGAGTAATTCATTTCATTTCATTATCGCTTTGAATGAATTACAAAAACGAATTGCTAGAAAAATATATTAAATATCTGTACACATTGTCTGTCGAATGCATAAGTTGTGCCTCGACAAAGTGGAGGCACGGTCCACGTTATAGAGACAATGTGAAGGGGAGGGACTACGTTCTACGGACAATGTGAAAGCCAAATGTGGTCCAAATTATATCATATTTGATCACATTTCAATCAGAAATATCTCACCAATACGTTTAAAAAACGTTCAGTTATAGAAAAGTAAAATTAAAAAAGTTATATTATTGTATTACGAACTGTCAAGTCGTAAACTCTCGTCAAAAGAACCGCGTCACGCATCGTATGCTTGACTGACTTCGAGAAAAAAAAAAAACAGACGTAGGAACAGCGAGTGGACAATGTGAGAGGATTTACCGTATAGTTATTCGAAGTAAAACGAACGAGGTTAATCCCACCGGAAGCGATACTTTCTCTCTTCATTTTTAATAACGTGAAAAACTAGAAACCGATTTATACCTTCCTGAAGATAGATGCGCGACTGTATAGAGTGCTTCCCTCGAACAATGCGGGAATAAAGTTCCGAAAGGCCCCGGTCGCCGATCGATACGAAATTTGGTGCGAAGGGTGAGGGGTGTGGGTGGACTCCAAATATAAAATATTAGCTGCAGCCAATCACTAGTTTCCGAGATATTAATAAAAAACTTTCAGTACTATGCATTGTAACTGCGTACAGACTTCGGTGACACGTTGAATGCTGTCTATACAGATGTTACTAATCAACTGTTTTCGCTGTAGTAGTCGTTGCCGTCAAGTGTCGAGTATGCGTCCGGTATCTATAGGGTGACAAATTTCGTCTAAATAAGGCTCATTGAACGAAGCAGTCACTGAAAGCGTGGATTTTAATCTAACCTAACCTAATCATGTATGTAATCATCTTGTCGATCAGTCGAGCTAGAGCATAGCGCGTCTAATACCGCCGAATATCTTGGCGGTTGGCAATATCAAAACAGTCATCGCTTTGCCGAAATTTTATCTGTGACACCCTATAGATAGTGAGGCCGCAACCGCTATTGTGTCACCGGCTATTCGCCACTTAACGGCAACGACCACTACAGCGAAGACGATTGTTTAGTAACATTTGTATAGGCACCATTCAATGAGTTAGTCACGTCTGTATACGCAGTTTCAATATACAGTGCTCACTCCCTCAACAACGCGGTTTCACTTATACGTGGTCGTTTTGTCTTGAAAAATGTCGACGTTCATTTCGAATCAATTTACACATTTAGCATACATTTACAATCTTCATTGTCATGGGGAGTAAGAGCGCTAATTCGTTCGCGTAGGCTAATTCCTCACAAATTGCCGATGCGTACAAGAAGCAGTGGCGCCGAATTCAAATATACATATAACGAACAGCCGAACTTGAGAGAAAAATCAAACGACCAATGTGTCACTGCGATCTAGAAGAAGCTACATTCAAATAATTACATAATATGTGCGTGTATGTGTAAAT